ACGCACGCGCTATGTTCGAGAGCGGAGATGTGCGTCCTTTTGTTGAATTACCTTGGTATCCTATACTATGGCGCGATAACAAATGCGTGACCATCAGTGGCGTATCTGGGGGAGGGCGCGGGGCGCAAGCCCCCCCCCCTCACCAAAAAAATTAGGTCAAGTAGTTAAAGATCACCTATCACCATATTTTGAGAATTAGCGCCCCTCAACTGATCATCGAGCCTGCCCTGACTTCACCTTCGCGCACCCCATCAGCCCCCCACAAAATTCAATACTTCTAGATACGCTACTGATGACCATTACATTTCATCATTTCCTAACACACAATAAATATTTCATTTTAAATGCTTCTTTACAGTTGTCAATCTTAATGGGTCTGACATGGAGTTTGGTGTTCATTACAGTTTACAGCAGTGAAATCATTATTTGGTACATCTTCATCATCCTCAATGGACTGCAAGGATTCTTCATTTTTATTGCATTTACATGCAAACGGGAAACGTTGACAAAGTGGAAGGGAGCGTATGCGACTTGTTTTGAAGCTCATCCACGTTCACGGCCCAAGGTCGTAGGAAGCGGTCAGGCCAATAATTCACCCATTAATATTGTTTGACCTTTTACCGCAGCAATATAGCTTTTTTAAAACAAAATTACGCACACAAAAGTCTTTATATTTTCGGTAGTGGAAAATACCAGGACGATCTGAGGGTACAAATCTCTGGACCCCCCGTCCGAAAAGTTGAGAAACTATTATTACAGTCTAATTTAAAAAAAAATTCTCACCTCAGCCCTCATCATAGTGGGCCGAGGTGGGTAGGCAATTTCAAGCAGACATTGGTATAACATATCCCTCTTCGGGGTAGAGAGAGTGGGAGTTGGATAGGAGGGGAAGAGGTCTTAAAGCAAGGCTTATAGAAAACACTTAAAAAGTTATTGTTGTTGCACAGCACTATGGTATATAGGCTATTTTAATCAAGTAAGAGTAGAAACAGTGAATATATAATAAATATTGCTGCACAGCACTGAGGTGTGTGTATATATGTATATATATATATATATATATATATATATATATATATATNNATATATGGTAGAAAGTAGTCGAATAAAGGAACAATGAGGGACAGATCGTAATGGGTAATAGACTTGTTAAAAAAACACAAAATGATGTCGAAGATTGCGCTTTACAACAAAATTGATGTTTATTCATCTGACGACAAATGACAAGCGATCCAGCATTATTCTCCTGGGATCGTTGTACTATATTCACGTATTCACAAACACTTACTCAATCATACAACAAAATGCCGAAGCATCCACAAAAAAGCACACAATGTTTGAAAAGAAAAACTTACATTGCATGGAAACAAAAGTAGGCCAATTTACATTTCAGAAAATCTATTAAAAAAAAATCATTTCCATTGAATGTAAAGTTTCAGATCTATTCACAAAAATGTGGACAGACAAAAATAGTATTTTACAGTATGTGGTCACCTGACGACAATACCCACAGCAGCATTGAATTGTGGGATTGTTTTATGGAGATGGACTCAACTGAATACTTGTCAATATTTTCAGAATACACTAGGAATTTGTAAGCAAATACTACAATGATTATCGCATTAATATCTACCAATGCATGAGGTACAGTATTTCCTTTATAATATATACAATGTACAAACAAAATAGAAATACTGAACTAAATACTTTGCAATAACATCATTTGATGGCTAGCATTTTCTTTGCTATGTCATTGCCACCATTTTAAGTATAATACAACATGAAATAAACATTATTTTTTTGGTGGTGATAATGATAAGATTGATTTGATGATGGTGATGATTATGATTGTTGGTATAATGCTCATGATGATGATGATGTTTAATGATTTATATGATCATGATGGTGTTGACAATGTTGGGGATATACCATGATGACAATGGTGTGATGATGGTGGTACTGTAATGTATAATGGCAACATATATACATATACATATATATACATATACATATATATATATATACACACACACATACATACACACATACACACATCTACACACACACACACACATACACATTAAACTACAGTTTGGTGGGATTGTTGAGCAAGGCTACGATTAATCAGCAATAATAAATACTTTGATAAAATCAATCTACAATTAAATAATGTACATACAAATCTCAAAAATCGTTTCCAGCATCCACCAAATATCTGGATGGAAGTAATTAACAATACTAAAAAATACCTTTGAATAATACTAATACAGGTATAAAAGTATACTACATAGGTATATCACACAGGTAAGCTAATTTAGGTATGTCGGCCACATAAATAAACATGAGTGTATCGCAGATGTACATACCTACTACATAGGTAAAGGCTAGACTTATTTTATACCTTGTTTAGCGAACCTGCTGCCCGCCAATAAATGAAAGTTTTTATGTATTTCTATTATGCCTGGCACTGCCTTAAAATATGTACCCGGTATTGTATATTTCTTCCTAATTATATAAATTTGAAGCATTCAACCATCCCATTACTACATTGTTTACATTCACCAATAGAATTTTATTTTTATTTTCTCCTCCGTCTGGATGTTTTTGGCAAAACCATTTGCTAAATACAAAAAAAAAATTTTGTTCTGCCCGCCCTTCTCTGAGGATCTTTAAAAAAAAAGTTTGCCAATCAAGGTACAAAAAAGTCTCGCCTAAGTGACCTTTAGGTAGGAATATCTACTACATGGCTATAATCATAGAGGGGTTCACTTACAGTTGAACAGGTACACATAATCTGCCTTACAAATATGGACAGGATAGGTGGCTGCCTTAGAATTGAAGCGCATGCCTGCATACACACAGACATGGCAAGATGTCTGAGCATGCCTGCATACACACAGGCATGGCAAAATGTCTGCACATGCCTGCATACACACAGGCATGGCAAGATGTCTGCGCATGCCTGCATACACACAGGCATGGCAAGATGTCTGCGCATGCCTGCATACACACAGACATGGCAAGATGTCTGCGCATGCCTGCATACACACAGACATGGCAAGATGTCTGCGCATGCCTGCAAATTTATTATTTTTTTTGGTATCTTTTAATTTACAATCAAATCAAGTTACATTCAAGAAGACTTGCCTAAGAAGTAAAAGTCATCAAGAAATTGATTATTAATTCACAAAATAAAAGTAATTCTTAATTTTTTAAACATAAAGCAGTGTATCAATATTTTTTCTGGGGTAACTGTAACAAATACATTTATCTATAATAATCATGTCTTAAATTTGTTACAACATAAAATATAAAAGAAAGTCCCTTGTCATTGAGATATAAACCCACTCAACATATAATAACTGTTAGTGTTACATGAACATATTTAGCAAACTACTAAATTTCTATTGACAATAAGCACCATAATAAGTAATTGCAGACTAAAGACATTTCGCAACAAGAAAAACAGAGAATTTATCCATTGCTGAGAGAATAGCAATTCACATTACACAAACAGTACATAAGATATAATATTTATCTTAAATATATATCATAATCATATAATATATAATATTTCAATACTTTACATGGACAAATTATGACTAATTTCAATGAATACTATTTTTCTTACTTAAATTACAAATTTTCAAAATAACAAAACAGATCTGAATACTGTACTGGTGGTAAATTTATAAATAAAAGAAAATCATAAAAAATCATCTTCAAAATTTATAGAAAACACATTAATGAGCTGACTCATACGAAATTCATGTTTTTGAGAGATAAAATCTGATTAAATAGAAAACACTTATGTAACATCACATCACAAATAATATCATAATCTGATTGGTTAACATGTAGATGGAATATAAACAAAAAGGGTTTTGATTGGTAATGGGGCAGACTGGAAAGGGTTAATAGTGTTGAAGAGGAGGATCTTGTTGCTATGATGAAGACTTCTAATTGGTTTAGATATTAATAAGGTGAAAAGCAAAATTCCTGATTGATTGGCATGTTGACCATTTAAACAAATCATTACATACTATATGACATATATCTTTGGGGTTGGTATTTGTTTTTGAAATGCTGTGTATTGTTCCAATACTACACAATAACCTTCTAATTCATCACTTTAGCTCTATTAAATTTCCTCCTTTTACAAGATCTGTACAGCTAACTGTCTGTGTATTTATGACAGCTGTGGTTCAATGGCTGCCCGCCTTCCAATTCCTTGATTCAATCCTTGACTGAACATATGTCAGGATGTTTCTCAAAAAACAAAAACATCTAGATATCTATACCGTACTACATGATACCAGAAAAGAAAACAATTTTAATGTATCATATCTCACTACTGTATGACAAATAAAATGTACTTCTCCATATTCCAACCGCACAAAAAAACCTTAAATTTGGAGTATCCAGGATCCCTAATTATCAGCTTTAGGAATGGACTGCCCTCATAAAATATTGTGTTTAAAAAAAAAAAACTGTACAAGAAGTAGTATTTCAAAACAATTTTCTTTTCTTTTATATATTTACACGGAAAATGCTTTGAAAAGGTGATGGCAATGGCTTAGCATGGGTAGGAGGCAAATCCAAGCCACATTGTCTTTTTTTTTGTGTAAATTATTAGCCTCCAAACCTGACTGTGAGGCTGCAAAACCAAGGGCTTGCCTCCCAATAAACTTAATGAACTTCTGCCCTAGCCTCTGACCATGAAGTTCTTATATATAATGCCTCCAAGCTGTGTATCAAAGGCATATTGATTTACAAATCAATTACATTGTTATCTGTGACAACCATTTCCAGCATTTTTCTCCACGCAGCAAGAACTGGGATAATCTTATTTTGTCACTAAATAATTCAGGTGTCATCTGTTGTGTTCCTTTGCTTTACAATTGCTGAAATTAGAGTTAAGGATCTGTTAATTGATGTTACATTATCATGGGAATTACAAAATATATAATACTGAAGCAACAAATAAAATGTCTTGCAAAAGGGTACACTGGACCAGCATCGAACCAACAACCATTCGGTTGGAAGACCAAGGCATTCTCTCTGCACCACAGGCTCCAAAAACCACACATGCATTAAGAATGGGATGTTTACCTTCATTACGATAATACAGACAATACTTTGTATATCAACATTAAGGTTGAAGAGATTATCAAATGTGAAAAAGCAAAGATGAGGTGGATACTTTTCAGCAGTTTTCTAGTACATGCTGAATAAATCAGTGATATATATCTTTGCAATGAATGTGCTTGTTTTGGTATATTGTTTTAAGCCTGTGTAACATAAAATACAGATTGCTTACATAAAAACTTTCACATATGAACATGTGGTATGTCAAGATGACCTACTTTGCTTCAAGTCAATTCTGACTTTGACTCGGAAACATCTTTCAACTATCATAATTATTTTTACAGTTATTTTGTACGATTTTATGAAGAGACACATATTCTTGAATCATATCATTCAGGTTTTTGCAATAGAATATGATTGAATGCACTAATACACAATCAGAGGAAATTGGATATAGACAAGGCAGCTGTGACAGGAAGTGGAGTTTAAGTGCACAAACAACCAAATGACTCAACAAATGCAAACACATTTACTTTCTATAAGCCACAATAAGAAAATGAAAAGAGAAAAAATTCACAGAAGCCGCTAAATACATCTTATTGCTACTGTTAAATTTCTACTGATTCCATTATATTCATGCGTGGTAAACACAATATGTATATAGTTTCACCTGATAAGGTATCACAGTCACATGACATTTAAATGTGGTACAGTATTCTCACAAGTTATACAATCATAAATAATTTTGAGCCCGCTTTTAATATTTCCATGTTTTCCAAAATTGTACATATCTTGCATTGTGTCTTGTGACTGGCAAAGCATAGTTTATTCATGTCTAGTCGGAAACCTGCTGACCAATAGGATGTACCAGATTGCTTGAATGATTGAAATATAAACATCTTCATCTCGCAAATGCCTATGATGCAAAGCATAGCTCATTTATATGTACTCAACACACTGAGTTTAGAATGTAAATGGTTGGTTTAATTTTTATTATTTTCATAACGAGAACTTGTGCAACTACAGATTCTATTTTAAGCTTCAAAGGCACAGACTTGCATTACAATTTTGCGAGCATTCACTACACAAGTGCTGACAAAAAAGGCAAGCTCAATTTTTCTTTCTTTCTGCATATAGTACAATGTAAACACTAAATATGTAAAACTCCAAACAGAACATCAACTGTGGTGGAAAATAATGTGCTGGCTCAAACAAAATAGCATGTCCACTACATGGATACTAGCACTCAGTACATTTCCCCACCTGTCCATTATAATGCAACATCCCATTTTTCCTGGAGCTGTCCTCCTCCTTCACCATTGGTCTCTCAACGTATCTAGGAGAGCCGCTCCCCTGCGATGCACTGCAGGTTTGCTGCGTCTTGTCGAGTATTGAAATACCCTCTAGTTCATCTTCGTCAAGGTTCTCCATACTTCCGTATGCCAACACAACGTTGTGGTAGTATGAATTCAGGTGGAAGTGGTCCGAGAAATTGCCTTCCTCTTCAAAGTTCTTAAGTATTTCATCAAATGTTGGTCTATGTTTTTCCTGAAACATCCAGCACATAACCATCAAACCATGTCTGCAAAGCAATTAAAATCAATCAATTTCATAGCAGCAGTTTGTCCTTGTCATTGACACAGTGTCAATCAAGCACCGTCAGGAAAGCTGCTTTGAAAAAAGCATTTTTAGGTCTGAAATTCATAAAATTAAAATTACGATTAATTTTGTTGTCAATTCCAGGTCCTTAGAGGTCCCTGCTTTTGAAATTTACTCGGTTAGGCCTAACGATGATGAAGCTGAGGTGGATGTGGATCATTTTTAAAAGACCTAGGACCCCTCGCCAGGGAACCTCTGGCGCTGCAACTGTTCCAAACTTCAGCAGCAGCTTGATTGGATGAAAAAACCTCTACAATTCAGTACACACACAGTGGTTACCAGTATTAACCAGCTATGCTATGCTGCTCCTAAAAATTAATAAAACAGCACAAACTAATTTTTCACTAGCAAAGATTGCTTCAGGCAAGATTGCAATAAAGTGCACCCTCCAATTCGAGACCACTTTTCCAAAGACACAAATAACAATCTTCAACCTTTTAACACAAAGCTAGCCCTCTAATTTGAGAATTTTCAGACCCCAAAGTTGGTCTTCAATTGGAGGGCAAACTGTATTACTTTGCCAAATATATATAATTATTATTCACATCTTTCTAGGTACTATCCACTTATACTGACCAATGACACAAGCAATGACTTTATTCCTCATGACTGATAGATAATTCAGAATTCTCAGTTATGTTAATAATTGATGATTGCAATAATAACCATGATGAAGTATTATAACTTACAATCGTTCTGGACACCCTTCTGGCTTTGGCAACGTGTTTCCATTCTTAATGTATTCCCCAGCTTCTTCATTTGACAGGCCTTGGTATGGTAATTCACATAGTGTTGCCATCTCCCACAGCAACACACCATATGACCTAACAAAAAATAAAATATAATCAATATTTTAAGAGACATTGGTGGTCCTAATTCCCTTAACAATGTAGTCGACAACATGGTTATTTCTTAGGTTTCTTATTTACCAAACATCAGATGCATTTTGGAACACTCCATCCTTGATGGACTCAGGTGCCATCCACCTAATTGGCAGCAAACCTCCCTTTTCTTTTCGATAATAATCTGATTGGTAGATATCTCGTGCAAGTCCAAAATCTGTAAAAGAGATCCAAATTTGAAGTTACTTCATAATATTATATTGAAATTGAAAGTTATACACATATATTAAAAATTGTATTTATCTAAAATGATCAAACAAATTATCAATTTTCAATGAGGAAGATTATTAAATTAATATTTAATCATTATTGTAAATCTATCTAAACTTGGGAGTAGAGGCATAGTTATTGAAAACAATTCTTACCAGCAACTTTACATGTTCCATCTGCTGCAACGAGACAATTCCTAGCCGAGAGATCTCGATGTACAAATTTACTGAACGCCAAGTAGCCCATTCCATCAGCTATCTCTGTTGCCATTCTTAAAATATCTTTCAAATCTGGTGGTAACTTTCTTTCATGGGCCTGTAACGGAATAAAGTGAGATTACTACACACATACTAATTGGAGTGTCATCAGATGCCCTCAATCACTGGCCATATTCGACTGGTCGTTCTTTGTTGAACCACGCCCACCTGTGCAGTGGTAAAATCCTACTTAACGAAGATGACCAGTTGAATAGAAGACTGGTAAATACTCGACAAAACAAAATGGCTGCATAGTTACCACGCACGCTGCGTAATCAAGGTTGATTCGGATTGTGGCAGTACGGGTTTTTCAAAAAAAAAGGTTTTCATCCAGTTTTTGAATTCTATTAGCCTACAATTATTTTTTTCTTCATGTGGTTAAATATTACAATTTTTATTTTCTGAAATTTAATCTAAATCATATTAATGCAAATGTTGTTGCTAAACTGACCAATTGGCCATATTTTTTTTTCGTTTTTATTTGGATAACTCCAATTAACGCACTCTGGTTACGTTCATTTTCATTGTCAATATATTTTACGAACCAGTCGTATGAAAATAATACTCAAACAAAAAATTGTAGTCAGCGAAATGAACCAGTTGAATAAGCCCACTGTCTTTAAGTGGCTTAACCACTATACTTTATGGACCTTTCTGTCCTGTTTTGTAGTTTTTAGATCACTCAATTGTGTTGTTTACATGCACTTCGCGAAAGTCAAATAAGTTGCTGACTTCCACACACTTTTTTATTTCGTCATCGTAAACATGTGTGCTCACTTTAACGACTGGCATTGGTGGTAGTTCGTTGAAATTGAATACAATACAATACAACAACGCTGGGTTAGATGCCTATGTTACGTAATCGTGTCCTTGTAATCCGAGCCGACTTCACCATTAAGCAAGTTAATTTACCGTTATTCTAGTAAATTTAAGTCACTTAACTTAAGTGACTTAATTCCTTTATCTAGCTATAATTGAGTGGTTCATGTCGAACTTTTAACTAGTTAAGTGGATGTATATCTAGATAAAAGTTCGACGTGAACCATGCTATAGAGAAATTTTACAATTTTTTATCATCCAATGCTGATAAGACATTGCTGATATGAGTAATTGCTCATGATAATTGAAGTGTTAATCCTATAATCCTATTACTGGCTATAGGCAGTGTAGATCATTAGCCATTGAAAAAGTCATCTCATAAAGTGTTGTACTCTGAATTTTAGTTAAAATAATTTATGTTTTAAGTGATAGGGGCCTATTAGAATCAGACATTATTTCTAATTTCTTCAGTTCACAGTAAAATCGATCACAGTTTAAACAATAAAGATGGGAACAGACCCAGTGCGTAGCGACGGCCGCGCCCAAGGCCAACATTCCTGAGCGTGTAATTCGCAAACGCTGGTGGAACTAACTATAGACCGACTGCTAAAGAAAGGCTCATCAATATTTTAATTTTTCTTCAAAATAAAGATCGAAATATTGAAAGTACATAGACATTCAAAGTAAGGCAGTGTTACACGCTGGCCTAAATAAAATCTGCCATGCCTATCGTCATGCTATGCTACTAGCCCGCAGCTCTCCACGGCGGAATGTTTACCTCACATTTTTGATGGCCGTTGGCATTAGGCCTGTGTAGAAAGAAAGTATTCTCCTCTACAGTACAGTAGGTCCTCTGAATCGAGATGCGTATACTGTATTGTTGTTGAAAATTTAACATATTAATTTAAAACAAATCTGAAATCTGCTTTGTTCGTTATAAAATAATTATATAACGAGGGAGATAACTGATTAAATGCGCTGTCATCTTTTACTCAAGCAAATCTCAAGAGCAAGGCTTGCATGATCAACCATACGTGGTGCGAGTATTTGGCGATTTGGAACCGTCCATTTTCCAACGGGGTATAATTTGTTGTTTTTTTTTGTACGACGCCTGTAGATTTGAGAAATTATTCATCATTTCTGATAATGACATGCTTAATGTTGAAATATTTAATCCCAACACGATGGCGTGCATTTTAATACTTATTATACTGTACTATCTAAAAGGCATGTTGTATGAGAAAGTTTCACCGAGTACACAATGGACCTTTTTTCGGGCTTTATTTCAGATTCCAGCCGATTTCGGTATAAAATAACAAGTTTTATGCATGAAATCCACGTAAATTCAAATAATAAAGGTTGTTTTATCAAATGTATATTTTTTATGCTTTAGTCTTCCTTGTGTTTGTTTGCATTCCAACTCTAACGTTAATAAAATCAGCCTATTGGTACTTGTGCTTCATAGAGTTGCCAGTCTTACAATACAGATATTTTATGCCGTTCAACTTAACAAACTTGAAGGCTAGCTGTGCGCCTAGAGTTACTACGGCTGATATTTACAGACTATATGAATGCGAATTTGTGTTGTAAACATACCATGAACCAGGGCGATTCACTGCCTCAAATGTTGTTGTTAAATTTCTTAATTGAAATTCCTCAACGAATGGAGTACTTTGGGATTTGGGAGTTTTTCAAGTTCGTTACAAATAAAAATACGGTTTATAAAATGTTATATTTTAACAGTAATATTATTGTGAAGTGTGTAAATTGTTTCCTTGTTTTGAATCCCCTTCCAGACCCAGTCAGGAGGTCTAGTAAGCACTGTTAACTACTGATTTTAATCAGTGTAATCCTTGGCGGCCTGCTGAGTTTATCAACAAACTCCGGGTGTATTTGCAAAAAAGCTCTATGGAGTTGTACACGTAATGTATGGATTTCAAGTATCAGTAGATATACGGAATATGGAATGATCCAGGTAAGAATACCCTGTACAATTTTGGATATCTTGCATAGTTTACAGACCTCTGATTTACACATATTCCAAAATCACCAAGTTGCTGAACAATGCACACAATGGACTTTTCTTGAGAGTCAATCAAACTCAACATCTGACCAATCAAAAAAAGGGTCTGAAATACGCACTTGTCCTATACAGACAGAAAGGCCTATTGCAAACAAACACATCAAACCAACTTCTCTCCCTTCTAACTTTTGTGACTAACTTATCATTTATTGCATTTCATTATTCTATGTTTAGGATCAATTTAGTAGACAACAATTGATAAATTGAAATGACTGCAATTCTATACAGATGAAACCAGAATACACAATTGTAGCTAGTACTTGGATCGTTAGAAACATACACACTTTAGCAGGTTCCATCCACATTATAACGACTTACCGGAAGATCAGCTTGATTTTCAGGTCTCCTGTTTCTTAACCAATTTTTCAAATCACCTTGTGCCATGTATTCCATGATAACATAAGTAGGCTGACCCTTTGACACTACGCCAAGTAGCTGCACAATATGGTGTGTTCGAATCGCCCTGAAAAATAAGTAGCTTTTTATGTATCCAGTTACAATAATGCCTGGGTTCCATAAAATCACTACAAACTATACAGTAGCTGACAATTGCCAAGAGCTTGCCCTTTTGGTGGCTATTTTATGGGAAACTATGAATATCAGTGATGTACATTTCTACACATTTAATTAGTATTGAAATGTGATGATTTAGTTTAATATCCTCATAATTTGTTTTAAAACTTTTTAGTTTAGTGTATGTAATAAACAAAAACAGTTACTATTATAACTAGAAATTGCAAAATGCAAGTGAAGTGCTACGAAGTACAACTGCATATAAATGTTCTTCGAACAAAATTATTTATGCGAGTCAAGTGAAAATAATGAATAATAAAAATATAACAAATAATATGAGACACGACCCATTGTCTATATTAGAACACTGACGAGCTGACGTAGAAACGAGCGTTGGTACTGTGTATGCCAGTCTACAACAAGCGTCACCTAAATGTAATAATTAGCATGCTGAAATAGGCTATTAAATAAGTTTAACTGTGTTCGTAAATAATATTGGCCTCAAAATATTGTGGCTGAGACATGGGCCAATTAAAACGTAGAAATAGGAAACCTAGAAATATAGTAAAAACGCTGAATAGTAATACTCGAGCGTTGCGACGTGCGTACGTTGGTACGTGTAGGTTAGTCTACAAACGTCGCCTAAAGTAATTGATTTTACCCGGCAGAACGAAAGAAGGAAACTCCACTTTTCAGTAGTCTCAGGCCCTTGTTTTTTGACAAACAATGACCTTTCAGAGGTCAAATTGCTGTCAAGAATATGAAAAGCGATATTTAAATTTTAAAATTATAGCAGTAAACCACCAAAATCATCATGACATCCCTCCGTAAAAAATATCTGACAATAACACTGGGTTATGTTGGCACAGTAATAGAAGGGCTGCAAGGCCAGGGTCAAGGTAATACCTATTTTATGTGCTTCTGTGTCTCCCTTTGTTAAATATAGTTCAATAAAAAATAATCAAAAAGAAGATTCTTATTACTTGTGTCAAATTCCTAATGTTGTTACTACAATTTATAGCCAAATAAATTATTACTTTTGCTATTAGTAAATGGTGTACACAAACTGGATTTAATGTTGGCACAGCAATGGAGGGAATGAAAGGCCAGAGTCAAGTTTATAACTATTTGTTGAGCTGATGTGCCTCCTTATGTTAAACATGGTTTAATAAAAAATAAATCAAAAGGAAGCTTATTAGTATGTTTCCAAATCTTAATGTTGTTACCATACAATTTCTAGCCCAATAAATTATTACTTTTACTATTAGTAAATGGTGTACACTGATTGATTAAAAATTTAAAAAAAACTTGATTTGAATCAGAGAATAAATAAATGCATTATATGTTTTTTAATCTGTGAGATTAAAATTATTGATAAAGTAAAGAGTATTTTAATAGATAGTTTCCACCCACTAAATGCATCTCTTACTTGGCTACCCTCGGGTAAAAGGTTAAAATCACAAGTCTGTAGAACAAATAGATATCTTAATTCATTCGTACCACTTTCCATTAAAATGCTTAATGAAAATATAAAATAAGTTTTATGGCCTAATTATAATTTATTTTCTAGCTATTTATTATTTATACTGACTACTGCATTTTGTTTTGCGATGTGATGTACCAACTGATTTTCCGAAAGGATGTGTACATAAAGAATCTTGAAACTTGTTTTGTCAGTATGTGTTGGGAAATTGTCTTACTTCATAACTGATGCTTCATTAAGGAACTCAATTCTATCTCTCATTGATGCGTTTGCCTGCACCGACTTCACCGCTACATCAGATACCTTCTCGCCATCAATGATGTTCTTAGCCCGGCCTTGGTAGACCATACCGAAGCTCCCCTTACCCAGTTCATGTATGAGCTCCAACTGATCACGGGGGAACTCCGATGTATCAGGCACATACACTTTGGAAAGAAAAGCATATGATAATTAGCAACATTACATATTTAAGCAATAGATGAATAATCTAATACTGTACTATTATTTTGTTTTTGGTCATTTGCTATTTTGTTTTTGG